GGCCCTGGGGACACTCTAGGAGGCCGATCTGCAAGGTGGGCACGCCCTAAATCCACGCCGAGTCACCCACGCATTCCTTCTGCCACCCTCTCTTGGATCCGAAGGGGCGAAAGGGAATCTCTGCGCGTCACTCCCCACCCCCTATCCACCTCGGGACCTGGAGGGAGGGGCAGCCCCACCCACCCGGTCCACCCGGATATGGACCCGCCCGGCCTGACAGGCTCACACGCACACTCCCTCCCTCGCTCTTCCGCACACGATCCTGCGCCAGACGCTCCTACACAGTAACCTGGAAATTGTCACCGGAGGAGCAAAATCACAGGGCAGGGAGGCCCTCCGCGTTGTCTGGCGGAGGAGGGGAGTGGCAGGTGATCTTCACAGGTAAGCTCGCCGCGCATTTTCATAAAGCAGGATTATGATAAATGCTTAACAGACACAGGGCTGGGCTGGGGTGAGGCGCGTGAACTCTCAGGTTTGTGCGAGTGCCTCCTTAAATTGAGTGTCCTAGGTCACTCACTGGCCTAACCCTAATCCCCTGCCCTGAATGACACGCATAAACCTGGCAAGTCAAAACTTATCCATTGTTATCACACTGCACGTGCACCTGGTAACAGAGGCTCTGAAACCGGGAAAACTGCTCCGGAGGCAAGGGAAATTAACAGATATTTACAAACATTGAAGGATTCTTTGTGTTGGCTGTAACTTCTGCGCCCCTCTTCCTACCTGAAGATATCTTTCTACCCCACTAATAATTTTTGTGAATATAGATACCCATTACAATCTGAAGTATCAAAAATTACCTAGAAAAAATCTTTGAGGAACTCAGACTCTCTCTCCTCACTCACACACACACACACACACACACACACACACACAAAACAAAAGGTGATGATGATAGGTGATCTCCGTCCAAAGGATCTGCAAACCCATCAAGCAGATAAATACTTCAACAGTTTTAAAAAATTACTAAATGGAAGACTCAGCTCTTAAAGGAACAGTTCCCCCAGCCTGACCCCTTTCTAGCTTCACATCCTTCCAGGAAGATTTCATGGGTGGTTTAGCTCTAGAGATTTTCACGGAGTTGTTTCTGGAGCCGAAGGGAAGTGGTTGTGTCCCTGAGTAAATTACAATTCCAGGCGCCTACATAGTGTTTAAAAAAAAAAAAAAATCTGAAAAAGAGATTGCCTGGACCAACTTTGAAGCCATTCAAGCTGAATTCTAACCTATGACTTTGATCAAATTACCTTTTTTAGCCTTAGTCTTCTCACTTGCAAAATGGGACAGATGATACTGGCTGTGATAAACTAGGCAAGAATGTTCATTTGTTCAAAATATTTGCTGGCGCTTCCTATGGAAGGAGTATCCTTCCTCCACGTGGACCTCACGCTTGGCCATGGAATTGCTCTGAGCAATGGAATGTGAACAGAAGTAATGAATGCTCCTTCCAAACATAAGCTTTAAGAGCCGTCATGTGGTTCCACCAGCTTTCTCTTTTCCTTGTACGGGGAGAGCAGCATGTCCAGATAAGGACTCTCCTTAAGCTTGCAACCCGGAGTGAGAAGGTGTGGAATACAGCAGAGCCTAAGCCAGTTAGTGTTGGCCAAGTAACATGCACAAAATCTTTGTTTGAAGCCATTGAGAGTTTAGCATTATTTTTTACCACAGCATAGCTTTGTCTAAGCTAACTTACTGATCATATATGAGTGTTCATTGAGTCCTGCATTGACATATAGACTGAAGGTGGGAAAGTAGGTGCATCCTGAACTATAAAGGTCAGTCATTACGTACCAAAACAACATGCCTTTTTATTGGAGACTGACACCTTAAGCTCCTGTTAAAAGAGGAGAAGTGTCATCATTTTATTTCATATTACCTAAGCTATGCCACCATTACTCCACCTTACGCAGCCAGCCTATGACTGGATGAGCTAACACAACAAATTCTCACCTTGGACTAAAAAATTAGACCCTTGAGATAGATCAGTTCAAGGGGGGAAGGAACTAAGCTAAAAGGAATAGTAAAGGCCAGGATGGGGCAGGGCAAGCCAGCCATATGGGATCAAAAATGTCCAACTCAGTAGCAACAGGTGAGTGGAGCAGATGTGCTGAAAGTAGAGGCTGTATCATGACAGAGAGATGACGCACATGCTGTTCCCCCTGCTGGCAACGCTATTCCCTGCTCTCTTCACCTGGTTTGTGTTTCTCACCCATGGAATTATGGATTAGAAGTCACTTCTTCCAGAAAGCTTTCCTTGACCTATCCTAGTATAGCAAATAGGGAAAAGGTACCTGCAGAATTATCCTTGGAGAGGAAAAAGTCTTTATGTTTGAAAAACAATTTGAAAAATACAT